AGAGAGAGAGAGAGAGAGCGAGAGAGAGAGAGAGAGAGGTTAGTAGTGGAGACAGGATTTTTTACAGGACATCAAACTTTGAGTCAGTGCGAGAGAGTATGACATTTTCTTGGCATAGATGACAGCACATTAACATGTGTTGGGAGTAGAATATTCACCACTACATTTACAATTAGTCAGTTAGCTGCTACATGCAGAAAAATTACTGTAAAAATGACAATTTCTGGTAACTAGTAGTTTTGCCACTAATTTTAGGTATGGTAATATGCTGCTTAGCACACACTGTATAATGGATTTTCATGAGCAATAAAAAAAAAAAAATAAATAAAATAAATAAAATAAATAAATAAAATAAATAAATAAAATAAATAAATAAAATAATATATATATATATATATATTAAAACCTCTACATACCAGCCAATTGCAGACTTTATTTGTTCAGTATAAGTCCAATTAAGTTTAATGCACTAATCCAAGTGGAGGCCAAAAAGATCTTAATTTTAAGCAGAACAGGAAAAGCAATGAAGCTCTTTGAGCACAATTCTCCCTGCGATCATTTAAAATGGCCTGCAGTTGGTGTGCATGACCGTTTGATTGGCTTGAGTTAACAGCGGCCTCAAAAGAAAGCCATTATGCTAGGGTAGAGCCATCTGAACACTCGGAGGTGCTAAACTGAAAAAAGAAAAAGCTTCACACTCTTGAGGGTGGGTCTTTTTCAAAACCAACAATTACCCACCACCCAAGCTTTCAACACCTCACAAGAGCCTGACAGTTCATCTTGCTCAGAGCAATGAAGCACTACAAACCTGATGGATGAAAGGTAAAAAAAAAAAAAAAAGAAGAAACGATTATTCACCAGCCACCCATTGTGCCAAAAAATACATTAAAAATCATTTAATACACTGAAGAGGTGTGGAAAATCAAAAACCTGAATAAAAAAAAAAACACTCACTTTTACTATTTTTGAATCGGCTCAAAAAGATATGCCCTCTTTAAATGATTTTTGAGGAAAACTGGGTAATATAGGACACCACACTCTTTTGTACATTTCTTTCTTTATCACAAGCAATTTTACAGTAACACAGCAAAACAGCACTCTCCACTCTTAACCCCCTGGAGTCGAAGCCCGCACCAGTGCGGTCTGTCTCGTATTTTCTTTATGACCGTGAAAAGAACTAAAAATACTCGAGTTTTAATCGTACAGATAAGAACAAGGTATCGTTTAAAACTGCAAAGGGTCTACTTTTATTTGTGTATAGTCATAATAACAACAAAACAATGTGCTTTTAAAAAATAAAGAAAATAAACAGGGTGTGTTCTCTGCCGGCTCTGTCTCCGTCACCTCTCTTCACAGACACGTAAATAAAACAACATGAATCTCCGCGAATACTTGCCTCAAAGACATGAGAAATATATGTATAGAAAGCTTGAAATGTCTACTTTTAAATGAAGTCACGTCCAAAACAAATGTTCTCTGTTAAAGTAATCCATATGAAACCAACGCGATGTCCAGTTTTCCCATCTCAACTCATTAAATCTAATGCGGTCACGCCCACGCGCCAATCGCGTTTTTCAGATTCTAAGCATCCATGTGAGACACGCATGTAAACGCCTACATCACCTCCGCGTAAACAAACGTAAAGAGTTCATCACGGCTATTTTTTGTTTCTGGAAGAAGACGCGCTGAGAGAAATAACCCAGAATTTACCTCACAACGCGATGCGTCGCGCAGCTGGATCCACTGGAGGATATCACTCTGATGAGTAGCCTAAGTTTACTTGCATCTGTTGTTATTGTGACATAACTTGTGCACATTTTTACTAGTTAGACTTTTCCCAAACTATAATTCCTGACATGTATGAAATCAAGTTAAACATTTTGAAATATGTGTCATTTCATTGTCTAAAGGTCTCACGATAGGATGTTTGTTTAATGTTTTATAACATATAAAACCACAAGATATAAAAGTAGTGTGAGTGTTAACACTATGAATGAATGTTTGGCACAAAGGTGTGTTACTGATCAAATCTCAGTGTTCAGATCAGTATGTTCAATCATGTGTCTGTCACCTTCACTGTGTATATTTTTATTATACTGTATTATAAATAAAATGCAAATAATAATCAAAAACCCACATTATTTTACTCTCCTCACTCTTTCTTACCTGCCTCAGTCACATTCATATTGATGGCCCATTATGGGAGGCCCCTTTGTCTCTCAGGTGTGAATCACTAAATATTCATGGCCATTGTCACTCCCTCGTATACAGGCTTTCGATCACGAAACATGTTTTTACAAATGTTAAATCAATATATTGTTTTCTGTGAAGGAGTGAACAGGATCATTTTCACGTCATTTTGTAGCAAAAACTCTAGTCTACCTCATCCAGTTCTCAAAAGTCTTGTGAACAAATATTCTGTATGTGTTTTATGGCCTTATTTCAGTGACTTAAATTTAGTTTTTCACTAACTACACATAACATTGTTTTCTCAAAAACACAAACATGTATTTTCATGCTGCTCATATATTATTGTAGCCCAGTTTGTGCTGAATACAGTGTTATCAGACTTTAGCCATTA